GAGAGAGAGAGAGAGAGAGAACCTAATGCGCCGACGGCGATCTGCCAGGTGATCTCAACAGGGGCCAGATCGGTTACTCCGACAGCGTTCACCCTCGTCGGAGGCTGTCCACGGCCGCCGAGTTGATGAAGCCGAGTGCTGGTTGTTCCTGTGGCAGTAGCCGCAAGACGATCAGACGAGATGGCTCTCCTTCTCTGAGGAGTTGGAGGAGGAGGAGGAGGAAGGCGACAGCGAAGAGGAAGTGGAGTAGCTGCCATCAGGCGGATAGACTGATACGAACGTGAACAGCGGAGGGCTTCTCTGTCGTCTCTCTTGGAGGGCTTCACTCGGATCCACACAATGCATGAAGCGATCAACACCAGAGAATGCACTAAGCTGCTGCTGCTGCTGATCCTTAGCCACACAATTCTGACTGCAAACTCTTCACATTAACCATGAAATAATTGCGTCAAAAAAGTTCAAATATGGTGCCCATTATTAACGTCAATTTTCAAAGTCCCAATATCGCTTTGCATAATAATGTTGAATAATTGCGTCAAAAAAGTTAAAATATGGTGCCCATTATTAATGTTGTCATATAGGCATCAAACTCAAGGAAAGAAAAGAAAAAGTTTCATAACATGAAGAATGAGACATTTTGGACTTTGTCACCAAATAGGAATAGCCAAAGCACTGTAAGTTCTGCATGCTTGCTTGTGGGGAAGACTAAGACTAAAACTACATTGATCACAAGGCATGTTGTCACAAATTAGCAATTTAGAGACTGTTCTTGAAGCTACCAAGGAACTGCCAGTTATTGTAGCTGCTAAAGATGAAACATCCACACTACATGCTGAAGCAACACCATGAAAAGAGACGCACAAATCCATAACTCGAAGGAAAGAATCAAGGTACCTTTTGGGAGGAATATTAGCATCACATCTGTATAAATTGCTACTCCACTGCCACAAGAACATACGGAGGAGACACAGCCAGAGGAGAAGAGGAAGAGCAAGAGCAAGATGATCACTGCTGTGCCATGGTTGCTCTCACTAGTTCTGATCCTTGTGGCACTGACACCAAGATCAGGTAATGCACACAAGCACAGTCCGGATGGTGTCTGTGTTCTAAGTCTTCATTTTCTTCTTTATGTCGAGTGAGATCAGAGTCGTCTACCTCCAACATTTCACCAGAATTGGGGGTGGTGGCAGATGGCGGTGGTCAAGGGAATCAGTGGTGCATAGCAGATGAGCAAACGGCGGCTGATGTTCTACAAGTGGCTCTCGATTGGGCATGTGGCGCTGGGGGTGCAAATTGCAGCATGATCCAACCAAACAAGCCTTGCTATCTTCCCAACACTGTCAAGGACCACGCATCCTACGCTTTCAACAGCTACTGGCAAAAACACAAACACCAAGGAGGCACCTGCTACTTCAATGCTGCTGCCATGGTCACAGACTTGAACCCAAGTACATACACGCCCTTCGATCTTCATCTTCCTCTAATGCAGTCGCTTCGCTTTGCGGATAGGCCAGTCGTGAACCAAAATACTTTGGTCCGATGCATGTTACCTATATGTCAGAATGCCTAGGAGACTTTAATGATAGCGATGAATGCCATGGCCTTGACTCGTTGATCCATGCTCGCAGGTCATGATGCTTGCCAATTCGAATCGCTGCCTTGAGGCAGCTGAGGAGGGAACTCGATCGCCGTGTTGGAGTTTGTCCGAATAATATGCTGCAGGTCTTGACATCTGCCATTGGAAGTTGGAAAGGAAGTCCTACCATAGCCATTCAGGTCTGATGTTTGCCGTTCCAAATGACAAAAGTCGAGTAGAAGTTGATTGCTATCAAACTTCACTAGTCAGTTGAAATTATTAGTTTTGCGAGCCATTTCTCTAATCTAAACTCTCACTTTATCTTGACAAGGCATAGCCACATCAGCTTGACAAGACATCACGACCTCATATTTCCTCACTAAGATGTTTGCTACTGGAAGATTCTAGAAAGGTATATAGAGCTGAGTTTGTGCTTTTATTATATATGAACATAAATATGGTAAATTATATCCAAAAAAAATATTGAAAGAATGATTGCAAAAAACATCGATTTCAGAATTAAATGCAGACCAAATTAATCCGATGAACGTTTCCTCTCATGCGCACTAAACCTACTACAATGAACACATTTTATCGCACAGATAATATTGCAAGTTAGACGAAAAATATAGAACAGTTAAGGGTGCGTCAATGGTAAGCATTGTTGTGTTGTGACGTGTTCTTAAGATCAGGCAATGACCCGATATCATAGATATTTTTTACATTTGTTTATGACAATCAAAGAAAGAAAACAATATAGGAATAAACTGTTTTCTGTCCTATACCTACATAAAAAATTAAGATATTTCTGAACATGCACAGAAAACAATCATGCAGATTTTTTTTTCAGATTCAACTCACGTACTCGGATGCACTTGAGTACTCCCCATGTTCTTCGAAGTATTCAATTAGGCGCTTCAAGAAGTTGTCATGACTAACGGTATCGGTGTCGCATACAAGACAACACTGTCTTCTGGCGCGTGTCACTGCAACGTTCATTCGCCTGTGGTCGCTCAAAAATCCAACCTGAAAACATGGAAAGTGATATCATGTAACAGAATGCTCTTTTCTACTGGCAAGTACTATTGAACAAGATGGAAGATAACAGCCGTCCAGCTGAGAGTAAAGGGGTTAGCTTCTCTGCCATCGGATTTAATTTTTGAAATCCCTATGAAATATTTATTTCTTGGATTTTAGCAACCCACTAATGCAGAATACCACAGCTCAGTGCCCAATGTCAGGCACAACTCTTGCAGATAGGGCACATCCATAAGCACTTGACCCACCAACTCTCACCCTCTGAATGTGCACCATATCCGACTCATGTCTCATGATAAATAGCGCTATTCCAAATGAGATATTGGACAAGCTTGCTACCCATTCTAGGGAGCACTTGAGTTTAAAAGTAATTGAAAAGCTATGATGCATGCATGCCAACAAAAGTCATGGCAAGTCTTTCTTAAGATACCTCCTTTTTTGAATTAGATCGAACCATTGAAATGACAATGGCTTCTTTCTCCCGGCCTTGGAACCCATCGACTGTTGAAATTTCTACATCCTTCAATATGTTTTCTTTGCTCCTCATCATTTTAAGATAGGTCACCTGTAAGCGTATGTAATCCAATTATTATCCAAATAAACCAGCTAGCAGAATGAAAGCATCACACGTAACATGAAGCAAAATGGAACTAGACATGGCTTTGTCAAGATGGAGAGAATAGCGAGGAATCTGAAAACTAAATTGAAACCATTAAATTCGGATTGCAAATAGAAACTGACCATAACAAGATAGGAACACTAACCAGACATCACATAATGATGAGATTACATGAGGGAAAGAGTGAAACCTGTGCAGCATACGGAGTGATTATTCCAATATCAGGTGCCTGAACACCATATTCAATAAGCTGCTTTGCATGAGCTATAGTAACTGCAGCCTCTCCCTCATTCATAGTGCTTTCTTCTTCGTCTTTCTTCTCATCCATGTCACACCTGTACCACAGTACAAGTATTCAATACAAAAGATCCCCTGATACAGACACACAGTAAAAAATATTAATCAACATATTGAGAACCATAGTATAGAACAATTGAAACTGAAAACCAATGACTTAAAAAAGTTTGGCTGGATTTGATAGATATATCAACAAACTAAAACCTGACTGAAAATTATGGTCACAACTCAACTGTTTTCAGAACATGGCGAGTTTAAGGTACCATCTGCTTAAACTACAACTTCAGTAGTCTCTAAGTGTTGCCATAGATCTTGTTCCCATGTATGGACAAAAGGATAAGAAGTTCCTTTTATTTTTTGGTGCTTGTCAGCTTTCATTTTTCTCCTTTGCTTGTTTGAAGCGATATCTCCACTATATTTTCCTAATAACAAACAAGTAGGAGTATTCCAAACCACCATTCAAAACATGATAATGCAAAGGAAGCCATGATTATCCATTACTATAATGATATGCCAGAAGTTGAAACAAAAAAACATATTACATATTTAGGCATGACCTTTTATATGTACATTCATCTGAAATGGCAAGTTTGACCTGTTTAAGTAACAGGAACATAATCACGTATAAACAGACACCGTGAGGATAACATTGTCATATTGCAATTTACACGGTGCTCTTGATGAATTCTCTCAACAACTGTGGAAGATTTTTCCATAACACTAAAGGATATTAATTATTATAACTTCTTAAATAAAGCATTAGGGTAGGTGTATGATAAGTTGTTTAGCTAGGAGGCTCAGATTCGAGGATAAGTTGTGCCTTGGGATAGGTTTGGTTAGCTTGGGCTTGGACAAGCTCCAACAAAACCAAACGTAGATCGAGTTGCAAGGGTAAAATCAGTAAAGGTTCAATCTTCAAAATTTTGAGCCAACAGCAAGCACAATAGTCAAGCATTTCCGTTAAAATAGTTAAACAATTGTAGAGAGATTAAGAAGGGTAGAAGTTGTCAAAGCTAGTGAATGAGATAAATATGGAGAGGGAACAGCAAAACAGAGGTCATTCTCCAGAAAAACACAAAAAGAGACAAAACATGATGAACAAGGGTGGTGGTGTCACTTTTGTGGTTGTGAATTGCAGCTACCAGTGCAAACTCAACATAGCCTTGTCATTCAGATTCGATCAAGGCATCATTGTCTTCCTTTTCTTGTGACAATATTTTACAAAAGAATAATTTCCAATATTCTGCATATGGGATTGCCCATAATACCCACCACACAAGCCACATGCCACATGCCAAAAGCATATGTGATTGTTCTCAAGTTCAGTAGTGCACTTGAGATTATTCAATTTATATCAGATGTGAATCAAGGGAAAGTGAAAGACCAAAGAATATGCTAGAACCAATAGAACAATGGAAGAACATGATTATTCTCAGGCAGATAAAAGTTAAGCGGCCTTACATGGCAAATGTAGGTAAAAAGTTCCATGTAGTAAACCAAAATATGTGAACTTACAGCAATGCTAATTGTTCTTATAGGCAAGGTAAGCAATACCACCGGGCGGTACGTACCAGTCCGACGGCATACCGATACACGGACCACCCGCAACCGGGCGGAACGATTAAAAGCACCCCGTATCGGACGATACGGGGTAATATCAGGCAGTAACGATCGAAATTTCGCCCGTTACCGCACTCGATAACGGTCAAAATCGACCGTTACTGCACTGTAACAGTGCTACAGTGCTACAGTGCTCCAACGGTCAAATTGACCATTACCTCACTGTAACAGTGCTACAGTGCTCCATCGTATTATGGAGAATCATACGGGCAACAACAGTATGGTGATAATTGGTCATCCTTCTCTGAGCAATAGTATGATACAGAACAGCAGATCAGTAACAAAAGTAGAAGCTCTGACATTCACCAATATATGCCGCAAGAGCTACCTCGGACAAATATGATTCATGACGATCAGCCTACGATCAACACCACATTGATGCATCAATGACATACAATGTATCAATACACAATGTCATGGGATCAATTTCATGATTGGGTCCAACAAACATATCATATTGATATGCATATGTATAGGATCGAGGACCCCGATCCACCACCCATGGAGGCCCGTCGTTCATTTTGGTGGTAGAATCAACAATCAGGTATATCTATATATGTGATTATTTAATTAATTTGAATTTTAGAGTTTATATTGTAACAAAATAGTCTAACAATTCAAATGATTTTTCTGTAGATATTTCAATATTTACATAAGGACAATCCATAACGGACTGAAATACGAACCTTGAACAAGGCTTCCTCAAAGCCCGAAAAAAATATGTGATACTATTCTTACCTAATTTATATTGATTTTGCTAAACTTATACTATTACTATATTTATTTCTAACTTAAAAACCCTATCCTAACTTTTTTTTTATTTTCAAGTATTTTCGAATGGTTTTACACCCTAAATTAGGTGTACCGCTCGGTACACCGTATCGTACCGAGCCAGCCTCGAAACACCGATACGGTACGGTATTGCAGACCTTGCTTACAGCAATGCTACTTACATGAACACAAATAGATTAATTCCATCAATATCTAGCATATCAATGACATCACATGGTCGCGAAAAAGTATGCAGTTTTGTCCTGCTAAACACGGATTAAAATCTCAGCCCAATACCGGAAACATACCAGACCAGTACAGTAATGGTGCACCAGTTGCTATACCAACCTATACCGCCTAGTATTATTGAATAGAATAATAAAAATAACAAGAATGAATGATATTATACCTGGTATTTACGTATTGAGCTATAGGTTCCAACACCAATACTTGGTTGGACTAGTAAATATCGATCCATGCCAATCGGTAGCATAGAGATATGAAAACTAGCTACCAAACATGGTTAATCATCTTGAAGTGCAACAGATAAATTTTCAAGCAATTATGATGATTCATTCTAAGCAAACTGTACAGTGACTATATGTTAATCTGTTTTGTTGTTCACCCAATCAACATTTACAAAAAAGTAATGGCAGAAAGAACACTTGCCCTGCTGTATCTATAAGAAGAAGGGTCGGTGTTGTTGATGATGAACTCTTCACACCTTCAACATCATGGAGCATATGTGCAGCTACACTAGAGTGGGCTTTCACCTGACATTTGATGATTTTATTAAAAAAAGCCATAAGTACTGAATTTCTTATCCCATATTTCTCAAGATGGAAAGAGCCAAAAAAATGAATAGGTTGAGCTACCTTATTATCGTAGAATTCTTTAGATGACCAGTTCATAATAAGCTCATGCATTCGGTATTGGACCGTGAGCATAGACATGACTTCCTCCCCGTACAAGCCTGCTAAACGTTCAAAGAGGGTTTTCCCTAATCCCTTCCTCTCTGCTTCTACACTTTGGATTGTAGGGGGAAGCTGAAGATGGTCTCCTGCAAGCACACACCTTGGTCCCTACAACAGCACAGCAGAATTATTTATTTATGCACCCTGATAATCCAAGTAGTTACATTCTATCCTAGGATATCACGATCCACCTAGAGTACCTATAAAATAGCTCACCTTTTTCATGGTTTCTTGATAAATATAGCGCTACTGTGTAAAAGATATATTATCTATATTACTATATAGATGTCCAAATTTCCAAGCATCAAATGTATTTGTCACCGTCTAATTTCGTTGTTTGCATTAACTCTCTGACACTACTCACACAAGCATATTATCTTTGTTCTACCATTCGTGAAGGACAAAGAGTGGCATTTAACAAAGAAAGATTCATAGAATACATGACTAATCTCAAATTCAGTGGACACCTTCTTTAAATAAATTTGTCTATGTTTGTATTTCCAGTAACTAACACTTCACACATTATAATTAGAGAATTATCTAAGCTACAATAAGGTCTATAACTTTTTTCAAAACTTCAGGTGAATAAGTTTAAGGCTTTCGTATAACATCTATAAAATAGTTACGTACTATATTAAAATATTTGTATAATATGGCTATTATTTAAACAATATTATTTTTATTGTCCTTCCGTAAAGTTTCTATATCTTACATTTTGTTTCAAGTCCTTTCAGAAAGTTATATGGAGGAAAAATATTTAAGCATATAATATTTTTATTTTTATTTTCTCATACTTACTATCCCAAACTTTTTTTCATGATTTTTTATATATTTAAATTTAGATTATTTTCAAATAATTCTGATTCTATTGATATATCCACCAATTTTTTATTCAAAATCATATCATTCTCGATCACAGCACTGACAATGATTTTGTGAAGTAACCATTGTGCTTGCATATCATGATTAACGTAAGTAATTAAATAGCATTCAAGAATTATTCATCAAGAAAGAGATTGTTTCTATCTATTAATATAGTACTTCAGAAATATAGATAAGTTATCAAAAGTTTGCAATATTCAACATGAAATTTTTTTAATTTCATTAACCATGATTTCATGCTTAATAAAAACAATTCTATCAATATATCAAAATATCTCTTCATTATAGTTACTAAAAAAAATCAGTTTCCAAAGAAGACAAACTTCTTCGGCAAGAAGCATCCCCAAAGTATCCGTGAACTATCCCTAAGTATCCTAAAAGTAATTAGTCTTTATAATAACAATTTATAAGCACATACATACAAGAGTATCTAAAACATAATATGGATATGGCAAGCAATTCAAAATTTTAGTATTTCATAGACTCTGGGAGTAGTAAATCTTTCTTTTTCACTCACGATACACTGTATTTCTAAAGCTATAATTGAATAACTTACCTCATTGACTTGTACTTGTTGATTGAAAATTAAGCCAATATATAAAAGTCTTCAGAAGCTCACAGCTGTGACTGTGTATATCCAGACAGGTCAACTGATCTTCCTTCTGGTCCTATCATCAGACAACTGCTAAACAGCTGTCTAGATTTATGTTCATCTTTTACCTTGCATGAACTTAATTGCATCAAGAACAAAAGTATGTATGCAACCTTAACCCTGCAAGTAAAGAGATTGTTTCCTTCTCATGAACTCTCATCACCCATGTTGCAAAGGCAACTTCATTGGTGTTTCCATATCACGAACTCTCATCACCATGTTACAAAGGCAACTTCATTGTGATGCCAAGGCTCACCTTCAACATGTTAAACAACAACCGATATATCACTTTTCAATATTCATGCATAGTGCAAAGAACCTGCCAGTGTATGTCCAATAGTGTAGTTATGCACATGGTTACATTCAAATGTATTTAATAATTTTAGAAAGGACCTTCCATGTCAGCAAATATTTTGTTTATGAGTACATAAGGAAACATTTTTTTATATATCATGCAACCTATTTATATCCACTTTGAAGCTCAAACTAAATTCTCATAATCCTATTCACAAGAGAATACCCATAAAATATAGATATGAAATAAAAGGGGTGATCCAGTGCACAAGGTTTCAGCCAATATGAGTTTGGAGTGTCAATATACATAACCTTACCCCCTAAATAAAGAAGTTATTTCCATGACTCGAATTTTGGTCATCTAGATTGCAAGAATAGCCTCACCATGACACCATGGTTCACCCTCATAGACAGAAAAAAAAACAAAAAAAAGCAAAAAAAAATGTAGGAATGTTAAATAAAAAAAACTTAAGACATGAACAATATTAAGCAAAATGTCCAGCACCATAAGAGCTATGTCTGTGGATGTAGTAATTAATGAACAACACACCTTGAGCAATGCTATCCAACATGCTACTTCAAGTGCCTGAGCAGCTTCATCAATTATAACCAAGTCAAACGCACTGCCCTCAAGTTTGCGAGAAAATGCACCAGTCAAAGTTGTCAAAACTACATCTGCCCGTTTAATAACATCTGTGACTGCCAGCTGCTGTCTCTTCCTCTCTTCTTTGGCAAGGGTTCTAAGCTCTTTCCTGATGTCTCTTTTGGTATTTCTATCTTTAGCTTTTAGCAGCTTCCCACTCAACACCTGATAAAATGATTATAATCTTATAAAATAAAGAATAAGAAATGAACAAAAGGAGGAGTCTAAAATGGACAACTGCTGAATACAACAGAAATGTATGACCAAGTGGGGATGACCCATGTTATTAATCTGAATTACATGCAGCTCCAAATATATACTTCAACAAGTACATAGCATGCATGGCTTCTAATTCCACAACCACAACCACAACCACAATCCTATCAAACTCTTCAAGCATACTGTTGTCAAATACATGATTACCTTCATTTCCTTGCGAATATCATTTGCCAAGGCACTATTATCACCTCGCAGAACCTAGTCATGAATGGCAACAATATTTAGAATCACAATATATGGAACAAATAAAAACTGTATTCGTATCTCAGAAATAAAAACTTGATATACTAATTTCCAGCTGAAGTCCTTTTTGCACGTATATTGCACTTTAACTTTTAGTTACACCAGTGCTAAAATTCATTATGATAATGGAACAGTAACTATCCACATCTCACATACAGTTGATAAGGCAATACAAGATGGGAATTCACAATTAATAGCAGCAAATATAGCCATGAGTTGACAAGTAAATAGAATAAACAACTAGCATTACAGAAGAAAGAAAACAATGAATCATGAAAAAGCAAGGACTGGCCAGAGCCAACTTAAGAAGTATAAAAAGGATAAAACAAAACCTTACATAGTACAATCATTTGTAAGGATGGTTGTGTCAGAAAATCATAAGTCAGCATTAAAATATTAAAACCTGAATTGAACTGTCGCTGGCTCCCCACTGCAAGTAACTACTCAAACCATAATTTCAAATTCAGGAACCAGATCTATACCAATCACTTACAAGATTGGTATGAGTCCAGTTCAAACCAGTACATGCTGCAATACCGAGAAGGGAGTTAGAAGGTTACCCAGGACAACAGCAACAGGCAATGGGTAGCACAAGCAATGGGTGGGTAAGAAGGCTGATGGTAGCGAGTGTGTGTGTGTGTGTGTGTGTGAGAGAGAGAGAGAGAGAGAGAGAGAGAGACAGAGACAGAGACAGAGAGAGAGAGAGGGAGAAGTGGAAAGGGGATCGCTGTTTAACCCTAATAAAAAGAAATGAATGGAGCCGGACCGCTTGAAAAGGAACAATCCGAGTTCCGGTTCAGATCCAAACCAGAATATAGTGCCAGGTACATATCGATCAGGGTGCAATTAGGAACCTTGACTTGAACCATGATTGTCAATGCAACTAGCTATAATGGAACATGAAGTCTATATGCGTTCTAACACCATGCTGACACAATCATGGCAGTGGCAAATTAGAAGAAAAAGAAGCCAGTATCTGAGTGTGTGCGTGTGTGTGTGTGTGTGAGAAAAGAGAGAGAGAGAGAGAGAGAGAGAGCAAAAGAGAGTACATCAAGCCTCACAGTGCATGATGGATGCTACCACCGTTTCCACCACCAGGAAATTGGTGGTGGTCCTAACTCTCCATTGGTAACATGGTGTTGATTTGGTGTTCCATGTCTCCTCATATCACTGATGAGTGCTTAAAAAGAGGCCTTAAGCACAAACATACAAAATCTGATAGACATATTTTCCACCCATGAAGAACGCCTATATTACCCAGAGTGACAAGATCATTCCCTCATAAACAAAGAATGTTTTAGCCAAGTACACATTTCAGACAAAACACAAATCATGAAATAAATTTCCATCTATAAAAACCAAGGAATCCCATTTCATGTACCAGACCCATATCGATCCCTGATCAGACTGGTAGGTACCAGTCCATACACATGTACCAGTGTTTCGAAGACGAGGAAGAAGGGAGAGAGGAAGGAACAGTGGAGGAAGAAGAAGGACGAAGGAGAAAGAGGTGGTGGTGGAGGAAGAGGAGGAAGAAAAAGAAGAGGTGACAGTGGAGGAAGAGGAAGCGGTGGAGGAAGAAGAGGAGAGAACGGTGGCCAGCAAGTGGCAGGCGACGGGCAACAGGGGAGCTCGCATTCAGGCAAAGAGGGCTCACGAATGAGCCCTAAAAGTTTGAATGAGTCGGAGTGGACCAGTTTTAATGGGTCGGAGTGGACCACCCAAAATGAGGGTCGTTCGCGCACCGATTCATGCTCGGACTGCTACATTCCACCCATTTCATACCAGTCTGGGTGAAATGGCAGTTCTTGATCGTTGTAACATTTGTTATCCAAGACCTGAAAAGTTAGTGGTAGATACCTTAAATTGTCATGTTGCAGGAAATGGACAAAGATAAATGGAACCATATCCAAAGTTCAAAAGATCATGAATAGAAAGCAAATCCTAAAGCAAGGTGGATTCATAAAAAAAATCAAGATCTCTTAATCAAGGTTTAAAAACTCGGTCCGGTGCTAATACCAGTTGGCAACTGGATCTGTACAGTCGGATGTTATTTTTACCTATAAGTATAGACTACAAAAAGATTCAAGGACTGGAAAAGGAATTCCTATCTTAGGACAACAGATTTCGCTGCATGAGTGTTCAAGAGAGGCGGACAGAGAAAATGAAGGGGGCAAAGATAGCAGAGATAGAAAAGGGGAACGGAGACCACAAAAGAGGCAGAAAGAGAGATCTAAAGTGACAGATGTAATATCACACTAAACAAGAATAAAATAATTTACAACAAAAGCAATCTGAAAATATAAAGATCTACCTACCTATCAAATTTTCCTATATATTTTCAGCCGAGACCTATGACTTAAAGTTTTCCCAACTCAATTCTTAAACTAGAAGTAAATACATCTATACTAAGAAAATATAATGACCTAAAATAGCAAGAACAATAAAAAAACATATACACTAGATATAAGTCAACCTAAATCCAAAACCAACCACATGTTACATGAGTTGTTCGCCTCACTTCCTCAGGTGTGCCAAAACATGTTCCAATTCATATGGCACGATGCTAGTAGCATTTGATGATATGTGAAATGATGAAAGAAGCAATTTCTTGTATTACAGGTCAAGAGAAGGAAAAGCTAGCAAGTTTCAACAATCTAAGAAAACAGTGGAACTCCAAAATAAGATCTCTGTATGACTGCAAAGAAATTTACACAAGCATGAAAAAGCAAGTCTTAAGAGAGGCAAGATATGCCTCAATACCTGTGCATCAAGTGCACTTTCCAAAACTTGAGGTAACAAGCGAGCAGGATGTCCCAATCTCACCAACTTTACCCTATCAATAGAAAAGTAAAATTAACTCAAAAAAAATATTATTAAGCAATTAAAAAGGGCAGCAAAACAATTAAAGGTTAATTTGATATTGTCAGTTCCATAAACAAATCAAATTACAATTTATCAGAAAATGATTATCCAATTCAAATATTCAAAATCAAGTTAGGCATTTGGTACAAAAGGGAATGAATGAGATTACTGCATGTAAATCAAGGGAGATAAAGTGGAAAGAGAATTACAATAAAAAAATGGAAAGGGAATTACAAAGTGATTAAAGTTTATATAATATCATCAGTTCCATAAACATTCAACAACAACAAAGCCATAAGTCCCAACATTAAACATTAAAGAAAGAAATTTTCAATTTCTAAAAAAGTGATATATCCTAGTCAAATATTCAAAAACAAGTTAGGCATTTGGTACAAAAGAGAATGAATGGGATTAACGCATGTAAATCAGGGGAGATAAAGTGGAAAGGTAATTGACGGTGCTGCAGTCGATCAGCAAAAACCATTAATTCAGAAGCAAAATTTTACAGTATTTCAATATCTTATTTCAAAATTTGGAAGATCTGTAAAACAGTAAAAGCATGCCCAGAAAATCTAGTATACTCTAGATGAGAATTGAGGTAGATCAGTGATCTTGTTAGTTGTTAGTCAAGATAGTAAAGCAACATTGGGATTTGTGGAGTCAGAGGTAGCATCAATCTACAAAATAAAATTATGGTGCCACATTGACGTCCAAAGAAATGAAGCAAGCCACCTCTAGTCTAAAAATACAAAATGCCTGAAATAAGAAGTTCGTAAACAAATGAGAGGATACAAAATCTAAAAGCATGAAAACAAGTTTTTACGACTAGTGATATGCATGTGCATATCTTGACTACACGTTTGAATAAGATGGATTTGTAATTTGTGAAAGAGAACATAAGAAGATATACAATTTAAACTTACCTGAATGGAAAAAGGCGTTCAACTATGTTATCAACAGCAATATTGGAAGCAGCGCATGCAAGAATTTTAGATCCACGTTTGACTTCTTGTAATATAATCTCAATCACAGTTGTTGTTTTCCCTGTTCCTGGGGGCCCATGAAGCAAAAATACATCCTTGCAGGAAAGAGATTTCAAGACAGCATCTCTCTGCAAAATAAATTTAAAAAAAACTAGTAGCTTAGTAGAAAAAATGACAAATTAGATCTAAAAGAGCATGGAAAATGACTGATATAACATGGTATTTGGTACTGCTGATTAAAAGGAATCCTTCAAACTGGTCAGGTCTTTAGCTGAAGCGATTAAAAATTTACTAAGGCCGCCATTGATAGGAAATAATTTTGTTTGACCAATGCAAATAACCAGATGAGATATAATTCAGCTAAGTTCATGACAGATGGGTGACTTAACAAATACAACATCATATACTGTCTTAAGTGTCATTAAGAGTCAGTATCATCTGGACCGAGAAAGAGAGAAGAGGACAGGAGCAAGCAGGACAAAGGAGAGAAAAAGAGATGAAGAACAAGAAAGGCAGTAGCTGCAAAACAAAGTAACTTGGACTTTGCAATGGCTGCAAATGCAAGCAGCAGTGGCAGCGAGGTCCTAGGATTTGGAAGCAGTGTTGTAGCTTTAGATGAGAAGCCGGTTGTGGTCTCAACTCCCAAGGAAGAGGAGATTCACAAGATGTTTGGCAACAAGCTCAGGAGGACAATAAGGAGGCAACAGAAGATTTTGGAAGATAATCTTATCAAGTGGGGCACCCCATTGGAACCATACCAGACAAAATTGACCATCCTAAGAAGGGTGAAAATGTTGTCCATCATGTTCAATGTGTTTTCTTAATATACATATGTCAAATATTCTCCTTTTCACTCTTCCCTTTATATTCCAGATATCCCATTATACTCTGTCATAGAGTTACATCACATGATTACTCTCTCATCACTTCTGTCATGTCTTCTGTATCAATTATCCTATCAGTGAGTCAAGTCAATAAAATCATGTTGAAGTTGTCATGGTTTCCAAAACATGAGATCAGTATGTCTAAGGTTTCCTTTAACTAAATTTGGGGCACATGAGCTGGCATTGCAATTGCTGCAAAGTGGGGGAAAGATCTTATAATACCTTGCACAGAACATTCTAAATAACAAAAATAAAGTACAAAAACATGAACAACATTTGCATGGAAGAATAACAGTGAAAAGAAACACCTGTGAATGATCAAGATTCTTGTTAAAGGGACTGAATTGAGTGGCTTTCTTTGAAACAACTGGCGGTTTCTCACCAAACAATACAGGAACCAGGTCTTCAGCTGGTCCCCTCTGTATGCCCTTGCCAAGTTGAATTAATGCATTCTTCATACTGCGATAGGTTACCTAAGTAAAGATTCAAAATATCAGTCTATAAATGAATGATAAAACTTGCAGTCCAGTACTCATGCGATTTTTTCAAATCATGTCCAATATTATCCACAACTCTTCATAAATGAAGCTCTCAGTACAAGTAAATGATTTAAGTTTAAACTTCGTATTGAAAAAGATAAGGAACTCAAAAATATCTTACAACAAAACCATTTTCTTAGAAATACATCATTAACTTACTAATGAGAAGCAGTAGACACTTCATAGTTTGTAGAATTGATGGAAAAAAAAAAAAGAAACAAACAGGATAAGTGTCCCATCTCAAACAAAGTGAAGTATGTTTCAGAGAGAGTTATTGAGAAAGGGTATGTTTCAAAACAAAAACCATATGATAACTGGCTAACGGCAGGTATTCGAATTTCAACATAAAGCAGATTAGATTAAAGTAAAATATGCCAATTCCATTCACTTAATGCATCATGTTTCAGTTCATAGTTCTTTAAACAGAGAAATATATAATTGACCAATAAAGAAATCAAACTACCACTTATATAAAGGAACTAAAGACAGACCATTATACAGTTAACGGACTATTGACCAAGATTGAAAAAAAGAAATCGGCTCATATTGAGTTCTTTTTTCCTCTCTCTTTCTAAGAAAGTTGGACCATGTCCCAATGACCTCAACTTCAACAAGGTATCAGAAATAGTACATCATTTTTCACTGTTACTTTGCATTAACTCTTGCCTTTACTTGAATTTTTTTTGTGCCATACTATGATTATTTATCAAAGGACACCATCAAACCCATGCCTGGTGTCTTCTATTTCCTTGCAGATTGGAACTCCAAGCTTTAGGTCAGTTTGATGAGATGGTGCTTTCTCAGCGTAAGAAGGACCTGCTGACCAGGTCAGATCCACCATCTCACGTTAGTCAAACAACCAAAACAAGTCTCATCTTATCAGACAACTGAATGGAAATTGTAACATATGAAACATTTTTTATCGGACAACAATAATAATGATAAAGAATCATTGGAGAACAACAATAAAGAAAGTGGACAAAAAGAAGGCTAGGAACAAAAGAATTACCATTTATATATAATTTGTGTGGCCTGTTTTACAAAAGTTGACATCATAGAAAGGACCCATAGAAATAAAGTAAATAATAAAGAAAATTGAGCAAGTAATTGAATTCCTATAATAGACAAAATAAATTCACATTGCAGTTATCCATTTGTATTTATTCCTATCAAACAATGTGCTCATGAAAAAAGTTCTTAAAAAGCACATAGCTCATTAGGGTGTCTTAAAGTATATTAACCAAGAAAACTGATCTTAAACAGCATTTTGGAACTTCCTGAAACCTAATTAATTGTTGAAAGAAATGAGTAAAAAAGCATAACAGAAATCCTTGCCAACATGTTCTATAGCCAGTTGAGTACCTCATTTGCAACCTTCTCAAGACGCAAAGGGCCATTTAATCCATCTTCAGGAATATCATCGAAAGCAACAATGATGGAAGAATCCTGCTTATTTCAACAGGTCAAGACGAATAAATATAAAATGTCATTTGCAATCCCAAATTTATCAAGCATTATGTGCTTGTGTTACATACCTTAAGGCGATAAACCACACCTTGACCAAGTAGAGGAGAACTCGAATCAGCCTTATTTGGTTTCACAATAACTACATCATGATTTGAGAACTGCATTAAAAAAATATCAGTTAAGAAACCGCCTATAAGAACAATTTAGCATAACTATTATCCCACAAGAAGCCTACTTGCAGAGTACAGTTTGATTTAGACTATAAAGAAAAATGAACTGGATGTGTCAACAAGCAACAGAACAAGTGGTACATTTAATGAGATGAAGGATTAAAATATTTTATATATAAAGGAAACTCAGTAGACATTAAAAGTTGAAAATATGATACATCTACTATATCATGAATTCTTGCTCAAAAATTTAGAAAATTTGAAATATGTGTTGATGGTCACAAAGTAATGAGATTTGTCATGAGTCACAAAGGGAATATCTAATAATTAAAGAAATTATCACAAATTGGAAAAGGAGAAAATTAAGAATTAATTTGATAGTCTTCTGTAAAATATCGTTAGCTAGAAATAGCATGCATTGATGTGGTAATTGATGATGTTGAACTAATAACAGTGGGAGATACAAGGATGAGCTGTGAAAGTCAACGAGAAGATGCTATTCATTTTTCATGATATTATGCATTTATGCACGGATCAGATAATCATGGACAATTCCTCAGAATTCAGTCTTTGAGGGTTTGAAAGTTATGCAACATTGTTTGTCCAACTTAAATCTAGTCAATTTGAAACAAAGACTACCGGCAGTGACCTAATTTCAACTAATTGGTCAACCTTACCATCGAAATATGCTTCAACAGCCAGAATTAGTTGAATTCCTATCAATCTGGTAATTGAGTTCCAAAAACCAATGAACAATTGATACCATACATGACCCCACTATATAGATGTCGTGATAAGGACAATAGCAGCATCCATATTGAAAAAGATAGAGGCAAAAGCACAGAACATCAATTGTTTCATTAATAATCATAGTTCAGTTCATGCATTAACAAAGAGACTCATCGAGTGGAAACTCCTACAACCTGGTGTTGACTCAGATTGTCCCCAACATCATCTCCTTTAAGTCTAACAGACAAAGAAAGACAAGACTCAAAACTACGTTTATATTTATTGATTAGACTAACTGTTGTTTTGTTAGCTCATCCAATGGGAATTCCATGGAAAAAGGTATTTTTGTCCTCAAAATTCTGAGATGCAGTGGTTGAGATCATTGTCATTGTGAACCATTGTACGTAATCTTACACCAAATTGACATTAAAAAAATACATATACCACATTATAAACACTACCACAAAGAAGATTAAAAAAACACCCTCTAACCTAGAGATGTTTGAACCCTTCCCCTTGACCATTGATTGAAGAAGGGACACTTAAATGTTGAGAGATTCTTATGTGATAGATAAAAGGTGATATATATTTCCTGTTGCCTTAAATTCTAAATGATAGTATTTCATAATTTATAATAAACATCGAATTATTAGTCTGATATATGTTACCACTTCAATCATGTATGCCAGTGCTAATACAATCTGGCCACTAATAAGGACCTCTTACTTGTCCTTCATGATGTCATCAATAGATTGGAACCAAATGTCTCAAATGCAATCAGTGTGATTTATGAGGCATATGATTACCTTATTATTATGAGTCTTTTAATTCACTACACATGAACAACTGACTTTTTGGTGTATGCAACCTTTATGAGTGCTTTTCCAAAGCCTTGTAAAAGACATCGTCAAAAGGCCCTCTATTTCTTAATTGCTTTTCCACTGGAACTGCTGCCCTTGGTGACCATTTTCCTTAATAGTTGAACATTTCCACGATGCTTCCAACTATATCTTCCTTGCCATCTTTGCTAGCACCCACTACCTCCACCCTCATCACCTTTACTATTTAGTTTCAGCCACTTTCTACAAAAACATCAATCTTCTTTCCCTCTTGAAACTACACCATTTAATACTCATGTGGTTGTCCAAATTAAGGCTCTGAATATCGTACCGTACCAATGTACCAATCAACTATCGATACGGTATGCACTGAGCTGTACCGAGCATACCGACACATGGTACACTAAGGTGTACCGATGTACCACCCGTACAGGTCCTCTATTGGACTGGTACATACCGCCCATATTGAGCGGGACAGTACGATATTGCAAACCATGGTCCAAATCCTATATGTTCCTCTCCGACATCGGCATAATCGCATCCTTCTCCTGCAACTTCACCCTCTTGTCCCTCTCCAGTGTTCATTCCTGCTTCTCACTTTTGTGCCTCCACTACTTAAAGATGTGATCTTCAACCATGAAGAGTGCTTGAACTGATGGTTGCTTCCAAAGACATGGTGTGTTGTAGCAATAGATCTTTCAGGATGATAAATTGGAGGAAGCAACCAAAGCCCGAAAACAAAACAATTAATAAGCTTGTTTTGCATTTTTCAAAGCCAGCGGGGAACGAAAGGTGCATAACTGAAATCACATGCTACTACTGACCCTTTTTATCCTCAAAAGTTAAGTTTTCATATCTTGCATTAGACTAAAAACTGTAAATAACAAGAATTTTATAGAAATGCAACCTTAAACTGACAATATGAACATCCATTTTTTTTCTTTCACCTATATATCTATTGAGAAGTACAGTTCTATATATACATCATAGCATATAAATGATCATGACCTTGTGAGCAGGAAGCAGGTCCCCCTTGTTAGATTGGAATTCAAGAAGTACTTTGCCCATCAACCCTGTCTAGTAACGAATAATTTTAATAAGAAGTCATTGCAAAGGAAGAGCAAATTAATAAGAAAGCAGAGAGCATATACAGACCTGAGCATCCGTGCATTTAAGATTAAGAAGAACGGAGCCTTTCTTTTGAGCAACCTCCAGGCTCTTTGATGAAGCTGAACCAATAGATGCTGTTATTTCAGCTTCCTAAAGACCATAAGCAAAAACATTTCAAAATTAAGAGCTTGACAATCTCATGCGACGATAGAGGAATTTACTATAAATGGACTATCAAAAACACACAGTTTCAACTTAACGAAGTAAAGAATGCAATGGTATGACGTAACAAACCATAACTAGTAAAGAAACATAAGAAGAAGATATCAGATATCATATAATCATGTACCGGAGGATCTTTACACGGGAACACAACTACCTCCCCCGAGTGAATCCCATCTCACTATATTTTACATCAAGAAAGCAGCTTCAGACGAAGAAAAAGAAATGAGACCAAGAACGCGAATGGAATCACGACTTAAAGGGAAAAAACCAAACCCTAAACCCAGAAGCCATATAGAAACACTTCCATCGCCCAGAGCGTGCGGGTTGATCGGATTCAGAAACGCAAATGCGCTCACGTGGATGACATTTGACGAGAGGCACGAACAAATGAAGTGAACCGAGCATCAGATGAGAGGAAGAGAAAACAAGTGATACGATGGGGACAATGAACGATGGAGGAGGAAAATGAGAACAAAACCTTCTCCAGATCGATCAGAGGGGCCATGAGCGACACGAATTGGTCCACCGACATAGGAGACGAAGAGGATCGGGTGCTGTGGCGGGAAGAGTTTTCTCCGGCTCGCTCCATCGGCGGCTTCTTTGGTCGAAAACCTCAGCGGCGGCAACAGCGCCACGGCAGTAGCAGCGAGACGGTACTCCCAAATCCTGTCGTCGCAATTTAATCGTCTCTACCCAGTCCTAACATCAGAGCCGTCCAAAGAAATAGGATTATCCAATCACTGTGCTGATCGCCCACTAGTTGTGAGCCTCAACCGTCCGATGAGCACGCCTTGTCTCCGCTATTTTTTTATTTTTGGCATAATTTCATATTATATATATATACTAAGTTACATAATTGCCCATAATCTTAGAATATATATCCTTATGAAATGCCAAATATCATACTAGTACATGATATATTGTTACATATCAAGAACATAATAATGGAAGAAGGAAAAAAAGAACCAATGGGAAAGATAATGGAATAGACATCAAATGAATAATGTCTTATTAATGACATCATAATTACCTTACAATTGTGTTTAATCTAATATGCATCGAATGATATTAATATCACTCTCCACTTTAACCATTAAGACTTATTTTTTCATGTGAACAATATCCTTATAATAATTTATATTCGGATACAAAATATCATAAATATGTACTTGTAACTATTTATCAAACTTAAACTACATCATTAGTTTTTCTCTTAGTTTATACTTCATATATTCAGTGTCAGCTATATTTAATTCAAAACCTTTTTTTAAGTTATATCCATAACTCAATTGTGAGATTAAAATAATTTTTCAAAATAACAAGGAATTTTAGATATTTTAAAAATCAATGATGACCATTATAAATAGTAGTTAACTCAAATTTGGGCAACCATAATAAGAGTGTCAATTGTGAATTATTCAAATAGTTGAAAAATATAAATTTTTAAAGGCATATATATAATGATAAGATTTAGAGGGGCAAATATCCTACTTCAAGAACTATACAAATCTTTTATTTTTTAATGAATAAAAAAACGATGAAATAAATATTGGATGATTTAGCATCCATCATCTAGAGGTTCATAAATAACATATTTTCCTCTTTGAATTTTGTTATTGTATTCATGATTATTCCTTCAAAAAGTATTCTTTCAAAGATTTTAATCTCTTATATATGCCTCTATCTTTAATATTCATACCAAAAATTTAAATTAAGTTTCTTTTGAAAAAACAAAAAAATATATCATTGATCAATCATTTGGTATAATAGTTGAAATAAAAAAAGAGTGGTTAGATTTAGTTAGATCTGTAAAGTTTTATGTATTTACGTTCAATATCGGCTAAATATATGTTATCCCCTTTAATTAGTTATTTTTAGTATATTTAATTTTTATATTTTAAAAAATTATATTGAGATTCCTATACTTATAAAAATAAAATATTTAATCATGTTTCTCTTTATGTCATCAACTTTATTGATGAAAATATCATGAAGTTTACTATCGAGTACGAGATTACATATTTTACTTTCGTAAGTATAGAGATTCCAATATAACTTTTAAAGATATAAAAATCAAGATAATAAAGATAACTAATTATAGGAATAATACATAATTAGTCCATCATAAGAATAAAAATTATCAGATAATTTGTATGATAGAAGCCATATCTAAAATGATATTACAATGTTTAATGGAGTTGATGAACTAGATAATTTGAGCCAACAAAGAATATTTTTAAAACCGAAAAATATTATAGAGACCAACCATCTTAGACAGCAACATGGGCTTGAAGCATAGTGTATAACCAGTTCATCAGAAGTAAGTACTAATAATCATGAATACCAATATTATTTTTTTAAAAAAATAAAATATATAAATACCTTTTATTATCTTTAATAAATATTTAAATATCTAATTAATTTGTAGGAGCAAATATATAAATCACTACTTTTGAGGATATATATGTAATTTTGAAGAGAATAAAATAAATAAACACGAGTTTTGGAAATGTGGAAACTAATCTCGCCTCTTCTCTCTTTTTGGTCCATACAACCAAAGTAGCCTTCGACCCCTTTCGCTCCTCCATGGCCTTCATATACTGGTAACAGACGCCAAAAATCCAATGGCGCTCTCCCTCTCCTCCATCTCCGTCATCGTCCCCCCCTCCAAACCCTCCTCCTGCTCTTTCCGTAGCCGCGGCCTTGACCTCTCCCGGCGCGCCCACCTCCGCTCCGCCGCCTTCTCCGTCGACCCCTCTCTTGCCCTCCGCCAGCGCAGGAAGGCCCGTCGGCGGGGGCGCGGCGATGGCTTCACGAGCTTCGTCAGCGCGTCCGCAGACTACTATTCCACTCTCGGAGTGCCCAAGTCGGCCAGCGCCAAGGAGATCAAGGCCGCTTATAGGAGATTGGCTCGACAGGTGCTTATTTGTTGTTATGATTTTAGTTTATTTTTTTTATTGTTTCTTTTTATTAATGGATTGGAATGTTAGGCTTTTTAATAGTTGCGTGAAACATTTGGAAAAGAACCGTTATTACTTTGTTACAATTCACTTAAGATCATTCCTTGCTGGTGTTGATGCGATTGAAGTTGTTTGAACTATGGGTTGTACCACTAGCAGGCATCATTTGTTCGTCCAAGTGAAGTCGCACTTTGCGAGCAACTTTGCATTTGGCTCAGTTGTCGAATGTGAGGATCTCGAATATTCCTGTTTGCAGTGTTAAAAGTATGCAGTCCAGAAGGATGGTGAAATTTTGCTTCTTCCACTTAAAGACAAAGCCTCGAGGATGGATCTGTATATCATCGCTTTAATGAAAATAATAATAATCTAGAAACATGAGTACAGGAACTCGGATTATGAAATCGTACTAATTGACAAGTTTCAGTATGCTGTCTGCTTTTCCGATCTAAATACTTGGACTCTAAAGGTTTAGATCATAGAATAACTTGCATTCTTAATATTTCTGTCTCACCGTACCGAGGCCCCTGATGAATGCTGATAAAAGGTTATTCCAGTTTTAGTTTTGTTTGTTATCTGCACAGAATTGCCTTTTTTTCCCTTATAATGGGAATCAATGCTATTATGAGCCATTTGACCATTACTACGATGAAATTTGCTCTTGCAAAGGCTTTGGTCTTTCAGACAATTTCGTGTAGTCTGATTTTATTTATCTAACTAAGACCTTATTGTGGTCGTCTAGAGGTCCCTTTAAGAAAACTTGTGATGAATATCCTTCGTGTAGATATATAGCAAGTGAATGTGAAAGCTTGAATCCAAACCGTGAATCACATGTATGAGAGACAATGCGTCATTGTGCTTATTCTGATAGTCACAATGACTGATGGTTTGTAGGGCTTCAATCTTAATATCGAACCAATATTTTATTTCATGTTTTTCTGTTTCACCAGGACTGGTACGTACAGGGAGCAGTACTTACCGGTTCAAGGGTGAAAGGAGATGCTGACCACCCCTAACCGGATGGTCTGCATGCGAGTCAGGCGGTAAGCCTACCTGCAGGTCTTTGGAGCTCAAAGAGACGCATTGGGTCTCTTTTGAGTTGTAAAAGAGGGCTGACAAACCCTCTTCTAACAACTATATTTCCTTACCCTTACTGTTAACTCCTCTTTTCACTCTATAAACCAACTATTATCAACCCCCATTTGCTTTCATCTATCTCTCTTTCCCTTCCCTCATATCAATCCTCTTCTCAAACCTTCTACCTTCCACTCAAATCTCTTTCATATTCAAGAGTTTACTGAAGGGGAAATTTAATTTCTCAAAGAGAATGTTCTAATCGAAGATCCATCAGCTAATGTCTTCAAAGTTAGGTAAATCCAAACCAAGGTTTGCAATACCACACAGTACAGTATGGTACAGGCGGTATTTATCAGGTCAATAACTTACCGAAATGCGGACTGGGGTAAACTGCATGGTATGTCCAGTATAGGGCCTGTACCACCCGTGATGGTACAGGCCCTGGACATTTTTTTTTTGTTTTTTGTTTTATGTTTTTCAGACTTTTTCATTTAAACCTTGCTTAATAAATTTTGTTAACACCATTTTATGGATTGTAGGATCCAGAAAAAAAAAATCCATTTGCTAGTATGTTTCTTTTACTTTTAATTAGTTTCCAAGATCCATGCTATTTTGCAAATCCTTGCTTATCATGAATGTTAAAAGTTGTACTATAATTAAATACTGTTAGTTGTACTTGGCAGATAATACTATATTAGTATGCTTGATACAGTTTTCTACTTAAATTATTTTTTCTGTACCATGGACTGAGCATGATTTTACCTGTAAAGCGTCCAGATGAAGAGCCGTCTATTTTCCGAAAGTAATTGCACTTTTGAATCCTTTGTGTTGCATCAGCAATAGTTTGCTGAATTTTGTTTTATGTGTTAAAGTATCACCCTGATGTCAATAAGCAACCTGGAGCAACAGAAAAATTCAAGGAGATAAGCACTGCATATGAGGTACTCAGTTGTTTCAGATGATTCAAGTTCTTTGATGTCTCCATTATATTTGTTCCTTTAATTCGAGTTCTTTGACTCTTCAGTTATATTTGTTCATGTTAACTTTGCTTCTTGTATTTGATCTTGAGGATAGTTATGTTATAGAATTATCATTTTACTTCTTTCTGTGCCATTGACTTGGTTTTGATCATTAAGTTTGGAATTACTATGGATCGGCTAGTGTTCTTCCTTTTTCCTTTTGATCCTTTTGTGACATCAACTTAATTATCTCAACAAGAGAATTATTTGTTTTGTGCTATGGACACGAACCAAACTAGTCTCCAGCAAGCATAGTGGCATTCATTAATTTTAAATTGATGTCCGAATTCTGTTTGCAACTTTTACTAGCCATCATAAAACAGTGGTAATCCTTAAAGATCTACCTGAAACAAGATTTCTTGTGCAAGAGAAGGCTCCTGTTGGAATGTGTGCTTGTTTATTCGGATCCAAAGATTATTAACCATATATGCTGTCGTGGCTTGAGAGACTACGATAACTATCTTTAACATCCATAAGCAGGGTCTGCAGCATGTGACACCTAAATACACTCACTCAAAATGACTAGTATCATATTGCTTGAGCTTTTTAGCATTCCACTAGAACATGAAAATTGGTTTCTAACCAAGACTGCAAGTTGACCTATTCAGTCTTCAGTCATAGGATAGGAAGACTAGTTGTGTCAATCTGAAGCTTTAATCACTGTTTAGCTTCAGATTCAACAGAAGTTTTGAGCCTGGGATCAGCATGAAACCTGAAAATTGTCTGGCTTTTGGTCTTAATTCTGTCTACTGAATACCACAATTTGTCAGTCTAAAATATGGATTTTAGTTTTAAATTTTGTAGCAATAGTGGTTAAGTGATAAATGTCTATGCAATTAGCTAAACTATATGCCTTTGTGCAACCTTGAATTTTGTGTTTTGATTTTTTTTTCCAAATTTGATATGGACTATACAATTACTTGTTTTCTCAGTTCTGTTCTTTTTGCCATATCATATATTTTTGTTTTTTCATAATTAATGTTTAATAGTTCAGAACTTCAGATATTATATAGTGGTCTTTCCTAACTATATTGGCTTGTTCTTGCATTTAAAGGTTCTGTCAGATGATAAGAAGAGGGCTTTGTATGACCAATATGGTGAAGCTGGAGTTAAGAGTGGGGTAGGAGGTCCAGCTGGAGCATACACGGTAATCTATCTTGCCTTTTAATTTGTAAGATGTTGCCAACTATACTTTTGTCCTTTCCTTTTCACGCTGAAAGTATTCAAGAGTCTTGTTATAGGATTCAATTAGATTTATGGCAAGGCAAAGTTATTAGGTTACATTTAAGGGTTTCCAGAGCTGCAAAATGATATTATTGAAGTATCTACATAATTCTGGTTTTCTTTTTCCACAGACCAATCCTTTTGACCTCTTCGAGACTTTCTTTGGTGCAAGCATGGGTGGTTTCTCTGGGATGGATCAAACTACATTTAGAACACGTAGATATGGTGCCGCTGTGAAGGGTGAAGATATACGGTAAGTACATTTGAAGAGTTCGTTACAATTATTATTGGTCTAAGATGAGCTATAATTTTAGGTTAAGTGCAAACTGTGATTTTATAGTTCATGTGGACTTTACTTTTGCATACTCTGTAACCTTTCTATTTCCTTATTATAATGAGTTTGAATGAGGCTTTGGCCTATTTTTTGCTTCAAAATAGAGTTAGATGTAGTTATAGAACTCTGTTTATTCTTTAACCTGATAGATTATGTCTAAACTATAACGATTTTTTAAACCTTTTTTCTCTATATATTTCATTGTTAATAACATATTCAGTCAGAGAATGTGTTTTACTCTAATTCAGCTTTAACCACTGTTCACTGAAGGACAATTTCATGTTGATTTGGTTATGCTCTCTCTGCATTAAAGTATTTATTCAATTACCCCACTTTTATAATAAAGGGCTTGATTTTAAAGAGATAAAATTCAGTGCGGTGCCTGCTTTCTTTACGTTAATGCCTTTTCTATTAGTTTGTGAGGAAAAAAACTATGTTATGACCTAACTAATAGTTGGTAATTTGTTTATTGTTGTCAAGTGGCAGTTGGTTGGCAATTGGAATTGCAATTAGAATTGAAATTGGAATCAGCTGTTTAAATTATGTGAAGTGGAATTGTAATGGCCAATTTTCTTCCTGTGTTTGGTTCTTTCAACTTTGAAATGAATATTTCTTTCAGCTTTGGATCCAAGATCCAAATCAGAATTGCGCTATTTTTGCCTTTGAAATTCCGTTTTGGGAATAAATAAATATGGTAGTTTTTGTCATTGGCAGTCTTGTTCATTCCATTAGAATGGGAATTGAGTTGAGATCACACTGGTCTATCTTCCCCAGAAGGGAATTTGATTTCCCTAAAAAAGGGGAGTTGATATTTAGTTGCTCCCAGACACTATCAAGAATTGGTACAGATGTCGACTTAGATTTGAGATGTAGAGTTTTTAAAGTGGCTTAGTCATTACACAAATTTATCTCTGTCCATTTAACATGAAAATTGATAAAGGAGGGGCAACCCTATATTTCTTAGGGAAAAGTCAATGGCTGAATTTAAAGGTTCTTCTAGACATCATCGAAAATTTATTTAATCAGTGTTGCAATATATGTAATTCAAGCAAAAATTAACTGTGGATACAGGTGTAGTGATAAAGTTATTAATTTTGTATTATGTGTTGATGAGTTTGTAGAAATTGGGAATTTGTTTATTGATGTTATGAAATCTTCGTGACAGAAAACTTAAATTTTGCGCAAGAAAAGAAAATTGTAGCTGATTACCAACAAAAATGAGGACACTTTGGTCAATTAACTGTTACTCTAATGGTACATAGAACATACTTTTCAGAGCCTACACATATAATGTTTTGCTCCTAGGAGATCTTGAAAATTCTTTAGATGTAAAATAGAGCTCGGAGAACTTGCTGTGTGAGAAACTAATTTGCAATTAATAAGTTGCTGTTATGTGTGTGTACTGTGTATATTTATCTTTGCATCCAAATGGTGCACATAGCTCATTCATTCCTAGGAAAGGCAACCTGGCATCCAAGACTGCCAATGTAGGGTATGGGATGCCAATACTCTGATGGACAGCTGGCTATTTTACTGCTAGGTATTTGACCTGCTTTTCAACTGTTAAGCAGTCATGCATATAATTAACTATTTTTAGGACCTGAGGGATACATGCTTCAGTTATGCAATTATCTTTAGGTCTTTTTAAGAAATCTCTTCTTTATGTTTTTTATTTTGTCTCTGTTCAGGAAATCATAGAGTTATTTAACTGAAACAAATTCTCAGGTATGACATAACTTTGGAGTTTCCAGAGGCCATCTTTGGAGGAGAAAGGGAAATTATCTTGTCACATTTGGAGACATGTGATGCTTGTACTGGTACTGGATCAAAAATTGGCTCCAAGATGCGAATATGCGCAACTTGTGGTGGAAGAGGTCAAGTAATGCGAACTGAGCAAACACCCTTTGGCCTATTCTCTCAGGTTTTTAAGTGCTTTTTTTTAAAATTTTTTTGCTTTAATTAGTGTACTGACAAAGGATTAAAGTATCTTTCCCGAAAGCTGCAGTCCATAACTTTTGGAGAAAGCTGGAGCTTTTTGATAACATACATTAGAAAATTTTAAAAATGAAATAGAGAAAGCCTGGAGCTTTTGGTAACATACATTGGAGAAGTTTAGAAATGAAATAAAGAATGACTGAAGCAACTTAATAGAGCTTCAAAATTTTGTATCCTGGAGAAATATGGATAAGAAATTTAAAATATTTGGAGTGATTTTGAATTTTTATAACATCTGATTTGTACTCTCTGCTGCTTTTGTCTCTTCTATAGTCCATTAAATTTTATATTTGTTTGAATTTTTATTTAATAACTTTGGTACAGCATAGTCTGGACCCCGGTCTAACATATAGGAATACTTTCTTTTGTCTATTCATTTGATAATACAACACATTTTAGGGATCATAAACTGACATCACCTAAAAGGAGTTCTATTCATATACACTACTGCATTTTTCTTGACTCCCAATTATTCCCTAAACCTCACTATCTTTAAGCAACCACTATATAGACTCTATACTGCTACCTTATTCTCAAGTTCATATGCTACTTCCTGTAGGTTTCTATATGTCCAACTTGTGGCGGAGAAGGTGAAACTATTTCAGAGTATTGCCGGAAGTGTGCTGGAGAAGGGCGATTACGTGTTAGAAAGGATATTAAAGTAAAAATTCCTCCTGGTGTTAGCAAAGGTAGTACTCTTCGTGTCCGTGGTGAAGGTGATGCAGGACTCAAAGGGTATGGAAATGCTTTGCTATTGCTAGTGTTTGTTTTTTTTCAATTTTTTTTTGAAAGATTTCATGTTTTCTGCCGCAATTTAATTTAACTCTATTTCTTGGAATTTCAAGTTTGATTAATTGTGCTTATACCAAATGAATTAGTTATTAAATGTTAAATCTCTTAAATTACTTGTCATGTGTTTGGGGAATTATAACCAAGGATTTAAATCTTGGCCTGATCTTGATTTTTGTAACTTTCTGACTGGTATGGTACCAATGTACCAGATGGCAAATCAACCTATACAGTATACAGCTTGGTATTATTGAATAAAACAATAATTACTTGGTGGAACATTAGTTACCAGGTCGTACCTTCTATTATGATCGAGATTGGGAGCCTTGATTACAGGAACTACCAGATCAAGCTTTCAGAATTAGTTCAATTTAGCACGAAGTATCAACGGATCATTAGGTTCCTGTCCCAATCAAGTATAAGGGAAAACCAAGGAAGCCTAACTTACACATGTTTTCCTGGGCTCCAATTTTGTGTGTAACCTCAGCTGTCTTGTTCTTTTTAAGCTCAATGAATTCTGGCAAACTTTTTAATAATGCAACTGTTAATTATTTGGCTGCTAGGTTTCCTTCTGATGACTATACGTCTACAGACTTGACTATATGCTCAACTTAAATTGTCAATGAAATGAACTTGTGAATAATCAAGATCCTTCAGACTCATTTTGGTTTCATTTTTTGGCTATAGGGTATCAATATGATAAAAGTTGGTAACCGCTCATCTTTGTTAAAAATGAAGTTTAACCAAGCACATTAAGCTTTTCAACTATTAGGTGGCGTCAATTAATCCTGGCTACTTTTCAGGCTTGAAACAATCTTACGAAAATTTGATCAAGCCTGGGGTCTGTGAATTTGATGGATTTCAGGATCAATAACTACCTAATATGGTGGTCTTTAGATCATTTTGTGGTATAGAACACTGTTTTGCTGAGTTGAGTTAAACAGGCAACCTTGTGCATTAGCCAACATTGCATTTTCTATTCCATTTTTGTGCAGGAAATTCTACTATATTGAGCTTGATGAAGCTTCACTTGGGAAGGATATGCCTTACTTGTATTGACAAATGATTTAGCTTGGACAAAGAGCATTTAACTAGTTGAAGATGCTATATTCAGTGCTATGACATCTATTAATCTCTTCACCAAACTGACCATATATTTTTTGAACAAGTTATGAATTCCAAACTCCGCATCTAAGTATTTTCCATGTTGATCTAGAACAATGCAAAATTCGTTTTATTGTTTGTAGGAAATGTTATGATTACTACAATACTTTTCGGGAAAGAAATACTTTTCTGCCTCAGCCAGAAAGGTGTAGTCCATGGTCTTGTAATGCTAGGGTTTTAGCTGAATGTTAGTTCTTGATGTTTGTTAGGTGCATCCACTAATGGTCATTCTATACAACTTCAGTGCCTTAGTACTTGTACAAAAGTTTGTATGTAGATTCAATATGAGCTTTTTTGATAAATTAAGATGTATGTATTTGATCCTTTTAACATTGCATACATTATCTTTATAGAGGGTCATGAGGCTCCAACCAATGCGACATATTAGAAGGTCAATTACACTCTTACCTTGCAACTAGAGAGACTATTTTGATGACATATAATGTCATTTTATTAGATGGCAGATGGAATTGAGTATATGTTTTTTGAAGAATTGCTGCTAGGGTGGCAATTTGTGCAGGTTGGTTTGGGAAATATATCGGGTTAGCCTAGAAGTTTTCAACCCGAACCCAAACCATTTATAATTGGGTTAGAATGACTTAACTAGGTTTGGTATTTAACAATAATCAGAATAATAAAAGCTGAAAAATTAAATATTTAAACTATAAAATGAATTATCATATGATGTTTCGTTTTTCGTTTTATGAACCATCAAGGATTGAATACATTCAATACAATATCCTTCATAAATCTATTGCACAGACTAAAATTTCAAATAGTAGAGAAGTTAATCGAACTAAAACTATTGAAGAGGATTGAACTTAGATCATGTTACTTACCATAATCTTCTTTTCTTGTCCAATGTAAATGAAACATGTGACCTAGGAAGGTTACCTTTAAGTTTATGTAGGATGGTATTTATTGTACTTTCTTGACCTTGCTAACCTACCAGGTCCTGGAGGCAAACCCAAGCCTGATTCATTTAATGTCAGGTTGAGATTGGATTCAGATTAATTGATCTGAATAACAAATTTCCTCATTCAAACTTGGTACATTTCTAGCGGATTTGGCCGGTAGGTGCATGTTAGTCAGGCATTGCCGCCCCTAATTTTCACTGCATTGAAGTTAAACACATGGCATTAAAACTCTTGAGTTGTTTTTGACTGAGTTTATGTATTGACTAACATTTTCTACTTTCATTCTCTATAAGGGGGCCACCTGGTGATCTGTATGTCTGCCTTGACATAAAAGAGATACCTGAGATACAAAGAGATGGCATCAATTTATGCTCAACTGTTACAATAAATTACATTGAAGCTATCTTGGGGACTACTGTTAAGGTGATCCCTGAACTCTTTTTAAACATGTATTAATTGTTTTTCTCATGGATAAATCTGAGTTTAACATGTGTTAGCCTGACAGATGCTTATTGTCAAATGAACCACCTTGGTGAGAAAGAGATAATGAGAAAGGCCAAAGCATACAGATCAGTCCCTGTCATGTCACTATAAAAAAAATACATAATACAATTGGAAAGTGTATTGTCCATTTCATGTGGTCATTTAACTAGACAAAACAAGACATGAATGTCACAAAAACAACATAGTTCAATACTTAAGTGCTTGTTGGTTCTTACGATTAAAATCTAGACATGAATGCCACTTCTTCACAAGTTGAAGTATACCTGTTACTTGTGCCTGGGGTTCCGAAGTTGGCTAGTTTTGAAATATTGTCTCAAATGGTATCGGTGAAAGTTCATATTGAAGAATTTGTTCCAAGTGCATAATTTTCATAACAATTTTCATAAGGCCCATGACCACTTTTGCGAGAATTTAGAGTGGGTTTCTTTATTTATTTCTAAATCAGGGATGAAAACTATATAGAAGACCTAGTTCCATTTGTAGAAGAGATAATGAAAGAAAGTATAATGGAAAGCATAGGAAAACAAGAATTAAGAAAAGATTTATGGATATTGATCCTTTAGTGGAAGAAACTGGAAACAAGAATGGAGGTATAAAATATAAATAAAAACCATGAATAACCGTAATACAGTTTTGCTCAGTGTTCTATGCAGGCGTTATATTGTGGTATGAGTGTGATGTGGACGATATCCACTTGATCTTCTGGATCTTGAATCTTGATGATATGTGGTGACCTCTACAACATAACAAGAGGAAAAAAAACTCATAATACATCATCAGTGCTTGGTCATGGGTGTCGGTGTTGAGGAATCTGTTTTCACAATTTTGTCTCAACTCTTTGATGAGTCTGTAAAGCTTGTGCATGTTGAACCTGATCCTCGTAGTTCTCTGTTAGAACATTGGACTTACATGGATCCAAGGAAGAAACAAAAAAAGTTGGCTTCTGAAATATTGGGAATACAGTGTGCTCTTCCTCCAGCTTTTATCATAGTATGTACTAGCCAAGGTCTAAAATCTTGGTCTGAAATCAGTTTCAACACCTTGGACTGAATACTAGTACCTGTATACTTACCTGTATTGTTTCGTATAATAATGGTGATGATGATGATGCTTAATCAGTGCTATAACTACTGATGGTATGTACTAGTCCAATCGATATTTGAGACCTTGCTAGGAGTAGCTTACAATATGCCACCATTTTGGCTATCTTTGAGCTAAAATCTCATGGTTACATAAGAGTGACCATTTGTGTCCTTACTGCCTCATGGTTCACTTTTTTTTTCAGTTACTTGATTATCATTCTTTTTCATATTTAGGAGTAGAATGTTTCTTTTTCTTTAGTAAGTGGTTTTCCTCCTTTCTTGACTTTCTTATTTTACGTTATAATTGTATGCCCTTTTTCTTACAAAAGCTTGCATTGAGCAGGTAAAGACAGTTGATGGGATTAATGAACTTCAAATACCTCCTGGCACTCAACCTGGTGATGTGGTTGTTCTAGCAAAGAAAGGTGTGCCTAAGTTAAACAAGCCATCTATACGTGGTGACCATTTATTTACCATCAAGGTTACTATACCCAATCGTATCAGGTAGTGCTTTTCTGCTATAATCTTAGTTTTTTGATCCGTCTTTTTGAATGAAGGGGTATGAAACATAGTCAAAATTTCAAATTATTTTGCTATATTGTTGGTATATCTTCAATAAACTTTTCCTCTCTTTCAACTTGACCCTTGGTTCTTTTTTCAGTATTTTTCCTAAATTATGTTTTTCTGCTGTTTTTGGATGTGCAATTATGCTTGTTCCATATTGGATAATTTTACTATTCCAACCCTCATCTGAACCTGACAGTTACTAATATGGACATTTCATGTATGCTCTGTAGTGGAAAGGAGCGGGAGTTGCTCGAGGAACTTGCATCTTTGAGTAGAGATTCTGTCAGCCGTGCGAGTCCTCGTACTAGTACAAAAGCACAGGGTAAGATGAGAGTGGTTTGTAACTATATATTTTGTTGTGTGACAAAAGTAATTGAGATAAGGTAAATAGGCATGAGCGTACAGAATTATTGCCAAGTGCAAGCTACACTTGATACTTTTATCTCTTCTGTTTTTGTGAGTAAGTTCACCTAATTGCATATGGCTACATCTAATATACGTGCAACATGACCCTAATGGTTATTCAAATAAAGGCTAAGCCTGATATACTTGTTTGCAGTTAATAGAGCAGAAAGTCAAAAGAGTCTGGAAGCAGAGGAATCAGAAAAACCTAGTCAGAATGACTTTTGGCAGTCACTAAAGGATTTCGCCGGGTATGTTTTAATCTAAATAGTATCTATCATGGTCTCTCTGGTGGTTAGCAATGCCCTTTGTCTATATAATCATATATCCACATCTGCCGTTTACCTGTGTAATGGTAGTTAATTCTTAGTGTCATATACCTTATTTACTCATAATATGGGAATAAGTATTAAGTTTGTCATCTCATAATGATGGCATTGTTAGTCTTTCACAATCTAGATTCCTAGTTAGGTCTAACTTGTGCCTTGTATTGTATTAGTTTACACCAGGTCAGGTAGTTCTTTCTTCTTCTATTGTTGTGCAGGATTAGAAATTTACCAAAGAAGAAAATTCTCCACAAGTCTCCTTATATTACTTGGGTATTAGATCAACGTGAAGTTTGCAAATAAATAGCTATTCAATGATCATAACGGATATTGTAATTGGTGATTACAGGATGAGAAGTTTGTGCTTTTTATAGGCCAATAACCTGGTTTCTTCTTCTCAGTCTCGTCCCTGTTAGTTTTTCCTCAATTGTTCTCATTCAAAACCTGTTATGAACTCTTCCATGGGCTTATAATCTTCAAGTATGATCGATGTAAGCTTTGCTATTGGCTTATAATTTTCAGTTTTGATGGATATGATTTCATGAAACACAAAGTAGAAACATTGTTACCGAACTAATGATATATCCTCCTGTTAACACATTTGTTTGTAAAATAAGAAAAGATACTACAAAAGATACCACAGGGACCCCTAAATTTGCCTGACATGAGAATAAGTTTATGCTTAAAGCTATCATAAAATGTAAATGCTACAGAAGCTGGTGACAACATTGGTTTGTATTTGCTTTTGCATCTATTTCTACATCCAGCAATTTTAGTTGAAAAAAAAGAATATTTGGAGTTAATATTTCATGAACAAGTAATCTTTTTGATGAATTCTCATAGTGCCTAAAATCTAAAATTCTTGCAGGTCAGTGGCTAACGGGGCACTAAAATGGCTAAAAGACAACCTTTAGGCCAAAAGACCATTCTTTAACCAAGATGATACCATCTGCGACCTCTTTTTAGCACCATCCAGTTTCTCTCCTGTCTCTCGCTGACACCATTCCTAGTTATCACTTCCATCCCTGCTTAGTATCTCAGACACTGGATGCTGATCTCGATCATGATATCAAGTAAATTATGGATAAACAGCTCTCTCGTATGGAATTCTTTTTCTGCTATTTTCTTTTTTTTTAATCTTGCTTCTGTATACTTAGGCAACTGTAATATTGAGAAAAGCAGTTCATTGCAAATACTTTTTTCTATCTGTGATGGATACCATGTTAGGACAATTTCAAAAGGTAATGAGCGATTCTTTTATTCCCTCAGTTTCTCATGTTGTTTGTTGAATATTTATCATAATAAAGTGGCATTTAAATATCCAGAGAGGTGTAATTTCGTTTTTCTCCTTGATCGTGATATACAATTAGGTTGCTTGCCAATTGTTGTTTCATAAGAAAGCTCCTGTTTTTGTACCTTTTATTATACGTTATTATGCTTTTGCAGATATTAAACTGTGTTTAAATACAGACATATGACCAAAATTTTCACAGAAATTTGTTATCGGGCATTATTCTTGTTGTCAAACTATCAGTTAACAGGGCAGTTGAGCCAAGAGTGAACATGGAAATGAAAACTATGGGCATTACCAAGGAATTTTGACTAAAACATTTTCTAAGTCCTGCTCAATATAGAAGAATTCAAGGCACATTTTGAGATATAGATTCTTTTTCTCCACGTGAGTTTGCTAAAATGCTAAATTTGTATTAAGTGATAGATTTCCTTTCAGGGTTAAAAATCCACTTATTTTAGGATGATCCGACAAGCAAATTGAAATGGTTCTGATGATTGATTCAATTATCAATTGGATGATTTGAAATACTGGAAAACCATCATATTTGAAGAACGTCAAATCTTTGAACCCAAGATAAATGAGTTTGATATATTCCTATTAAATTAATTTTTTTTAAGCATTCAATTTATAGGACTACTCTATTTTATAAAAGTTTAAAAATACAACTCTATTTAAAAATAACATAACTATAGCTTAAATTTTAAATCTCGTAGATTACTTTGTACATTATTTATATATATATTTTTTGTGCTATATATTTTATAATTTGTGAATTTTATTTATTTATTGCTGATATTTTACTTATTTCAATTAAATTTATTGTAAAATAATAACAATGAAGACTATTTATTTTATTATTTGAAATGTACGGATTGTAACGGCTAGAATTGTCACGTGCGAGCAAAGTACAATAATTCAAGCTTTCACATTTCGCTCTTCTTGTATCCTGTACATAAATAAGCTCCCTTCCCCTTCCGCCTTGCATCTCAAACTCTTCCGTTCTCGCCAGCGGCCATGGAAACCTAAAGCCGCGATTCACCAAACGCGCACACACACACACACACACACACTCTCTCTCTCTCTGTTTCTTTCTTTCCCTTGACCTTAATCCTACCAGTAACCTCTTTCATCTCCAGAACCTGACGATGTCCATCGAGACGCTCGCTCATCTGCCGCCGTAGTGAGGGTCGTTTCCACTCGGCCTACCTTGCTCTCTTTGATAGCTGGTTTCTCTATCGTACTGCCCGATTCGGTGCTTGCGATTTGCTCTGAGTTGATCGATCTGAGAATGGAGGCGAAGGAGGCATCGGCCGCACCAGGGGCAGCAGCCTTGCCCGAGACCAAGGATGGTCCGGTGAGTGACGAAGGACATCCGCTAGATGCTGAGAGTTTGGCCAAGGCGGCTGCCTTCCTGTTCCAGAGCTCCCGACTCCAGGACTGCTTACATGTGTTGAATCAACTCCTACAGAAGAAGCAGGACGATCCGAAGGTGCGTGGCAATTTTTTTTGGGTGATTTGATCATTTTTTTCATTTTGCTGGTAACAATTTTTTATGTTAAAAAAATTGATATTCACTTAATTTTTTTTTGAAATGTTTCACTTTCTTTATTTAGGATAGACGATTTACAATTTTCTGACCTTCATCTCATCAGAGCGATGTGCTGTTGTGCAGTTTTGACTCTTAACTTCTGCAACTATTTGCATAATCTGTTGATGGGTTAACATATTACCTTCTGCAACTATTTGCATAATCTGTTGATGGGTTAACATATTACCTTCTGCAACTATTTGCATAATCTGTTGATGGGTTAACATATTACCCTCAAGTTAGTTATGTTTAGCATCCCGAATTTTATATTTTAAAATATTATATTAGGATCTCAATACTTATAAAAGTGAAACATTTAGTCCTAATTCTCCTTGTGTTGTCAACTTTATTGACCGAAAAAATCGCAAATGCTATCACAAGCAGTAAGGGCACGAATAAAAGGGGCAAAAAAGTAATTTTATTATTCTCATCCGTTTCAAATATTAATTTCACAAAAGGAGAAGGATAACTTCTGTAGCATTGGTAAAAGGGCTTCACTATCCTGCCTTTCGGCTTTCCTCCCCTTCGGTGCACATCTTCTCGAACGGTTGATCAAATGACGTCGGTGGCACAGGAGGCCAATGGTGTTCCAGAGGAGATTCGAGCATCACCACCGACCTCTATGCAGCGTTATCCTCTCCTCCAGTTTCGTTATCCTCCTGGACGACCTACCCAAAGGCGGCATCGGTGTCGCGCGATGCTGGTGGTGATCCAGAGGAGATCCGGGCATCACCTTCGACCTCTGTGAAGGGCTATTCTCCCCTCCAACTTAGCTATCTTCCTGGATGGCCTACCCAATGGCGACGTTGATGGTGTGCGCAAGGCCAGTGGCGTTCCATAGGAGATCCGAGTGCCACCTTTGACCTCTGTGAAGCGCTATCCTCCCCTCCAGCTTCATTATCCTCCTGGACGGCCTACCCAACGGCGGTGTTGGTGGCATGTGATAAGATATATTTTGGGTTCAAGACACGTCATAACCGATGCCACGTCGTGCTACAGCCGAGTCAGCAAGGGGAGCACCCCCACGTGCCAAGTCAGTGCCTTCGTACCAAGGCGTTGTTTGGTATGTCCTGTCCCAGAAGCTCGGGACAACGTCGTCTGGCATCGTTCCGCGTGTCCCGGGACGACGACCACACAAAAGTATCGTCTCATCCCTCGAGGATCGGCTGCCACGCCAAACCCACGTACGACTGACCCTTGTACAGTAGTATAAAAGCCCTCGGCCGGCATCTGGCCGGGGGGAGAGGAGGGAGGAGGAGGAAAAAGAAGAGAAAAACAACTACTGACTTGCTCGTCGGAGGGGCCAAAGTCGGGAATCACCGGACGAAGGTAATTTTTGCAGGAAAGCGGCCACCCTCAAGCCGCGAGTGTCTCAACCTGGGAATTGCCATCCAGTGTACGAAGGTGAGCTGTAGACCAGCCTGAAGACGGAGAGATGCTACTCAACACAAATGACACCCGGACCGAGGAACGCTGATCAATACCCTGTCACGAGGGCCAGGCCTACTTCGGAATCCAACTCAGCCGACAAAAGACTCCCGACATCGACCCGTGGTCCAAGCCATGCTGACTCATAAGCCACGACACATTTGTTCACCAATATTTTTGGCGCTAGAGGAAGGGCCCGGCCTACCTCGGAGCCTTCTTGTTCGTAAACGGAGACTCTCCCGAGGCGGTTTTGGGAGTCATTCGCATTGCCCATAAGACGCTAGGGAGCTGGTCCACCCAGGGCTCCGTGCTCGCCCGAGATCCTCTTCTTGAGGCCCTCTAGAATCGCCTGATTCATTACTTTCTGGCCGTTAGTTTGGGGGTGTGCAACCGAGCTGAACCTCAACTGTATCCCATATGACTGACAATAGGCCTTAAACTTAGCGTTGTTGAATTGAGCTCTGTTGTCGGTGATGATAGCCCTCGAGATCCCGAACCAGGTGATAATGTTCTTCCACGTGAAGCTTTGGATTTGTTTCTCGGTGATGGAGGCCAAGGGTTCGGCTTCAACCCACTTCGTGAAGTAGTTGACCTCGACTATAAGAAAGCGTCGTTGTCCCGATGCTGGAGGAAAGGGTCCAAGGAGATCGAGTCCCCATTGGGCGAAGGGCCAGGCCGCATCCATCGGGGTAAGAGGGACTGCTAGCTGATGTTGCGATCGGGCGTGCCTTTGACATTATTGGCACTGCTGCACGTATGATATGGCGTCTTGGCGTATAGTCGGCCAGTAGTACCCCTGTCTAAGAGTCTTGAAGGCCAAGGTTCGTCCCCCGATGTGCTCCCCACAGATCCCCTCGTGGAGCTTGGCGAGAACTGTTTCAGCTTCTGATGGCGCGAGGCAGCGCAAGAGGGGTTGAGAGAAGGCCCTATGGTACAATTTTCCGTTGACGACGCAGTACCAGGCTTGGGTTCGTCTCAACCGTCTCGCAGCCGTCGGGTCATCGGGTTTCGTTCTGTCCTTCTTGAAGCGGAGGATTTCTTCTGTCTAGCTTGGCGGTACCTCCGTTTCGACGACCTCGTGAGTCGTCACTGTTGGCACCGTTACGGACTCAATTGCTGGGGTCGATGTCGGGCTGCGGGTGGAGGCCGATCTGGCCAACGCATTGGCCCGCGTGTTCTACGCCCGAGGTATTCTAGCGATCGAGAGGCGGTTGAAGCGATGGGTGAGCCGCTTCGCCTCTGTCAAGTATAACGCTATCGTTGGGTCCCGGGCTTCGTAGCTCCCATTTACGTGTCCCGTCACCAGCTGGGAGTCGCTGAAGACTTCGAGGTTGCCCACATGCATCTCCAGAGCGAGGCGTAGGCCGTGAAGTAGCGCCTCGTACTCGGCCTCGTTATTGGTGGCCCAGAATTGTAATCGGAGCGATCTCTCGTAGGTTTCTCCGGACGGGTCTTTGAGGATAAGCCCGACCCCAGCTGCTTCGGTAATGGACGAGCCATCCACGTGCAGGGTCCATATGCTCTCGTTGTTCTCCTGCCCAATAGCATAGTCTTCAGGAGTTAGCTCGGAAATGAAGTCAGCCAGTACTTGAGCTTTGATGGCGGTCCTGGGGGGGTACTGAATGTCGAATTCGCCGAGCTTGACTGACCACTGCAGCATCCGACCTGATGCGTCAAAGTTGGAAAGGATTTGTCGCAATGGCTGGTCGGTGATCACTTTGATTGTGTGAGCTTGGAAATAGGGCCACAGCTTTCGGGCCGTCTTCATTAGCGTGAGGGTTAGCTTCTTGATCGGGGAGTATCGCGCCTCGGGCCCGACGAGGATATGGCTGACATAGTATACGGGTTATTACGTTGATGGCATTTCCCGAACTAACACTGAGCTGACTGCATACGTCGAGGCCACCAGGTAGAGACCAAGGGTTTCGCCTGGCTCGGGTGAGGCGAGTCGGGGCAAGCGAGCGAGGCATGCCTAACTTTTCGAAGACTTCTTCGCATTCCGGGGTCCACGTAAAGTTGTTGGCCTGTCACAGATCCCGGAAGAAAGGGAGGTACTTGTTGCTCGAACGTGACACTAACCTGCTAAGCGCTGCTAACTTCCCGGCGAGTCGTTGCACCTCCTTGATCGAGCGGGGGGAATGCATCTCGGTTATGGCCCGAACCTTTTCCAGGTTGGCATCTATCCCCCTCTTGTCACGAACGGTCGTCGTGCACCCGCAACAACTCCGTTCAACGAACCGTTCGTCGCTCTCATCTACATGTACAGTTACTTGGCAGCCTATTTTGCCTTGGTTTTGAGTCATTTTGCTTGTAAAAATGTAAGTTCGAACAAGCTGTAGTGTTACAAAGCGACCGCTCACCGAACCGAGCAAAACAGCCCCAAAACAGCCCAAAACAGCTTCGTTTTCGTGTGCCGCGGGCTGATTTCTGGAATCTGCCTCCGCTCACCAAAACGTTAGCCATCTCAACCCCTTTAAACCCCCCGGGTGGCACAGGGCTGGATGGGGCTTCGGTATAGTACCGGGCGTTGAACACTTATTCGCAAGTTCGCACGTTTGCCTTGACGGGAACTTGTTGTCGCGCCTGGGACTCAGTGAGCAGCTGTTTGTGGGCTTGCAGCTGTTCGTTCAACCTTCTAAAGCCCTTGTTTTCCCCCTCTCTCTCTTTTCTCTTGTGCATGCAAGGTGCTCGCTGAATTGCTTGTAAAGCTTCCCCTCTTTTCGCGAGACGTCAGGACTTGTCCGTCGCTCGTTCTTTCGAACTAATTAACTTTCTCTTTTACAGGTCCTTCGGGACCTGTGAGAGGTTACAAGTGGGCTGATCTTTGCGGAGCAATATCGCAAGGGCGAAGCGCGACTTAGGCAACGCAAGCTAAGTTCGCGTTTTGGCCGCAAGGATGCCTCACGCCTTAGGCAATTCTAGCTAAGGCCGTGACATTGTGGTATTAGAGCAGGCAAGCACTTCGAGCGAGCAGCGAAGGGACTTCGTAACTTCGCCATGGCTAAGCATCGTGGCGAATCCAGCAAGACGGGGCAAGCCGGACCCTTGCCCCAAGCAGTCGCAGGTGGGCTGCATGTGCACACTCGCTCTCATGCTGTTAGAGCCGCTCAAGAGGAGCGCGACAGCGAACATGATGAGCGAGAAGTTGGCTACTCTCCGCTAGCGGAGGAGGCGCAATCTAGAGAGCCAACTGGGAAAAAGAGTCACAAGGAGAGACTCACAATGGCGAAAACCCGCCTAGATGTTCTTGAAGCGAGCATGGAGGAACTCTACCACGGCCAACAAAGGGTTGTTGGGGTAGAGAGCTCGCAAGAGGAAGCAGAGTCTAGGATCGACAAGGTCGAGGCCCTAGTCGACCGACTGTCTGATGACACCAAAGACTCTGTGCAACACTTACAAGATGTTGTGGCGGAACTCACTTCAAATGTGGTCATGCTCACAAGAGCACTAAATGCGAGAGGAAGCAACACCCA